ATCTTGAATAACCTCTCTTAACAAAATAATAGCCATCATCTCCAACTGAGATATATCCCAAATTCTAGAGAGAGAGGCTCTCGAATTCTAGAGAGAGACTCCCTAATTTTAGAGAGAGAAAACTATTTTTTTTCAATTTTTTCCTGATCCTATTCTTCTGGTTCTGCCTGAATAGTGGGGAGGGTCATCGGTCATCATCCCCCGATGACCAGAATACCTCAAATCTCCATTCTACCAGGTTTCCCTATTATTCTACTCATGGTGGATCTAAAGGTACAAAAGCTAGGAACCGGGAATTTGTGATCAAGCAAATGCCTTTGGTTATCACCGAAGGTCGGTCTATTTCAAACCACAACGTGGTTTCGATGCTGGGCAAAGGAAAAGAACCTTTGGAAATTTTGGGGAAGAAGGAGTCGGTGATTCTTTCCTCCCCATCAAAGAACTGGTTGGCTTGCGCGACAAATGATTCGGAGGCATTATCATCCATCGGCTATAAGTTGAAGGTAAACATATTTTCAAACTTACCCTGTGTTGATGTGGAAAAACTTGAGTTTTTGAATTCAAATTTGATAAAGTCTAAGAATGATGAAGATCTAATTTTTGGAGGTGAAAATCAAATGGCATGTGATCAGGAAGTTTTACCAAATACAGGAAACTTAGGTTCGGTAAATGTATGGTTTAAGAATTAGCATATCATAGCTAATTCTATTAATCCTATTCTGGAAGAAAATGTTGATTCAGATTAGTTAAACTTGATATGAATAAGGTTTCTGAAAATGTCAAATTGCTTCATAAATCTCTTGTGGTGAAGGTGTTTGGGAAAGGAATTCTTTTTTCTCTTTGTAGCATTGAATTAAGGCACCAATGGGATAAATTTGGGAAGTTTCATATCACCTCATTGGGCCTTGATTAGATTTTGTGTTCATTTCATTCTTCTCAGATTATGGCAGAAGTGCTGAGTGGAGGTCCATGGTATGTGGGAGGACACATAATAGGAATGGATAAATGAACACCTCAATTTTCTCCTACATCATTGAAAGGGTTATCCTCACCAATTTGGATTCGCTTGCCTCATTTGCCTTTACATTGTTGGGATGAGACTAATGTTACTAAGATTGTATCAAAGATAGGAGTTCCTTTGTTATTGGATGGGGAAATGTTCAAATGGGGAAGACGTGAATTTTCTAGAGCTTTTGTTTGAATTAATCTAGACTCTAAATTATCACATGGAGTTTGGATTGAAGGTTTATGTGGAAAATTTTTTCAAAAAATTGAATATGAAAAAAATATCTTCTTTTTGTTTCAATTGTGGAAAAATAGGTCACAAAATTGAGATGTGTACAAAAGTTGCTAAAGGTGTTGGAAATAAAGTTCTAAATGATGTTCAAGGAAACAAATTGATGAATTCAAATACTCCTGTATCATGTCTTAATATGAAATTTAAGGGAAAATCGAATATTGCAAATTCACAAAATTGTTATGGTCCTTGGATTCATGTGAAGTTTAAGAGGAATAGAAGAATGAAGAGCATTCAAAAGCAGAAAATTCATCCTACAGTTGTGATGAAGAATCCTGAAGATTGCTTGGCACCGACTGAAGTGCAAACTGGTAATAAATCTAAGTTGTTGTCTCAAGTTTTTGCTGAAGAATTGGTTAGAATGGTAGGTGAAGATCCTGAAATGCTAGACAAAGCTAACAAGATACATCCAGATTTTGAAGTTTGGTGATGGAAGATAAAATTCCATATTATGGTTTTTCCAATGAATCAGTTTCTATTTTGTTGCTCCATAACAGTTAGAAGATGGAGAAATAGATCCAAATGATGAGAATTTTGGTATTGTAAAAGATTTGGATGCTTGTTCTATTCTTCTAGAACACGTTGAGGTAGACAAACTGAGGTATTCAATGGAAAAGTTCTCGATATAGAGGATGCTGAAAATAAAGTTCCAAATTTTGTAACTGAGGAACTTACTGTGGTTGCTCATTTGGATTGTAAGGAGTATGAGAAGGAGATTGAAGTTGTGGCTGATTTGCAGATTTCAGTCACTCCTTTATCTAAGAATGATATTCTGAAGAATAAAGAAGCATTGATTGAGGATGGAAAATTCCTTATTCCTTCCAAATCGGTGTATCCTAAGAAAAAGTTGAATAAAGAAATGAATGTGTTTGGTCCAATTAAAGGGAGTCTTAGAGGAAGGAAGTAGGGTATTCTTGGTGATAGTGTTGGGCCCACTTCATCACTTATTTCATGACATGGTTATAAATATTGAGGAAGTACTTCAAGGTCAGCTTGTGGATTGGGTGAAGATGTTGAAGATTGTGCATAACAGAACTTGTGGAGCTGTGATGATCCAAGTTATATTCTCAACTGATGAATATTGCTTTCATTGTATTTACTTTTCTTTGTTTAGTTTTCTTGTTTTTTCTAGTTTTAGTTTGAGCATAGGTTGGAATTTAGAAAGAGGAACTAGATTAATAAAAACTAAGCATCTCTCTACTTTTGTATTTTATACTTAACTAGGAATTTTGGGATACTAATCAACCTTTTTGGTTGTTTAATATTTGGTATCCCCTCCACCCCAATTGGTTTAAAATGATAAGTAGTGGATCTTATTTTCATTATGACATTTCCTATTTTTTGAATTTCTTCTTTATGCTTAAATTGCTGTTAATAAGGCTTCCTTTATCTTTGAAAGGATTGACTAGTTTCTAGTTTTTAATAGTTTCCTTTTTTTATTTTAATACTATATGCATCCTTTCAAAAAAAAAAAAAAAAACTAAGCTATATCCCAATGTAAACAATTAAATCCCAAAGCAAGAAGAAATCCCGCTTTACAATCTCTAAACACTCTATCAATACCGGCTTTATTAGATTTTAAAAGAGCTCCATCAATATTCACCTTTATCCATCCAGGTGGAGGAGGATACCAAGTAGAGGACGACTACTGAAGATCATTAGCATCTCAGTTTCCCGAATTATCATAAAGAAATGAAGATGTTGAAGCCAAAGAAATTGTATTTGCAATGATGAATAACAAACTATCTTCCTTCCCCTCATGAATTCACTTTTTTCTTCTTTTCTAAGACAAAAACACAATTGTACAATATAAATTCCTACTAAATTTATTGCTTGTTGAAAGTATTTTCAATCCTTCAAGGTAACACTCTCTTGAGGACAACTCTTATGTCATTGCATTCTTCTAGCCATGCGAAGTGCTCTATATCTTGTATATTTGCCACATTAAACAGACACCTTTCATTTAGGAAAGGCATAATTCAAAATCAATTACAAATACTAGCGAATTCTTTCAAACTGGGGAAATCCTTGTGATTTTCTCCCTTTTTTAGGGCTTTCCATGTAAAAATTCGAGTGCCTTTTATGAAATTTGCATTCCTCTCTCTTACCTATTTATGTATTGGATTTTCATACAAAGATAGTACGCTAAACTCTACTCTCTCTACCGCTAAGAATATTCTAGGATACAACAAGATGGGATGATTCTAGCTTCCATTAGAACCATGCAAACACTTGAGATTATGTGAGTGGTATCAATTATCTAAATTATGATTTTTTTCTAATGGATATTTCTTTTATACCATCATTTTGAGAATAATCTTTTGTGAGGCCCAGTTCCTTCAAGATATAAAACCTTACCTATCTTCATGTCCTATAAGTAATCATGACTACTATTATGCTATTGCATGTTAATATTAGTTTACGACTTAAAATGTGATTCATTTGAAATAGTTTTTTTACTATTTTCTAGAACACTTTATTTTTTATAAAACTTTCTTAAAAATAACAAAAAAAATACTTATGACCAAACTATCTCAAATAAAGTCTTAGTCATTCATTGCTTCTTCATAAGTTTACCAAACAATGATTTAATAAGACCCATACCAAATATAACTCTATTGAACATCCTCTCTCTCTCTCTCTCTCTCTCTCTCTCTCTCTCTCTCTCTCTATATATATATATATATATAT